TATTGGGATGGCCAAGGACATATTCTAAAAGCTGAGCAGAGTATTACGAGACAGGAGGAATTCTTTGGTAACAAAGAAAAGAATACAGAGCTGTTACGTGACATCTGTCTTTCTTTACCGCAGCGAATGTTGGACGATTTCCTCAAAGACGAGGAAGAGACTCGAGGCGACAGAGATGTGTTCCTACAGAAGGATGCTATGTACATCATGGACCGAGCGTCTGAGCCACGATGAGGTCTTAGAGAAGATGCAAACAAGGAGGAGGATCATCAGAAAGAGGCAGTTGAAGTTTCTGGGACACATAATGAGAAAGGAGGGCCTGGAGAATCTGATACACTCGGGTCGAATAGAGGGAAAGAGAAACAAAGGAAAGCAGCCCGTGACATACCTGGTAAGCTTGAGCAGATGAATGACAGGAAGAAGAGGGAAGAAGTTTGTTGAAAGGGATAGGAGGAGGTGGAGAGCCATGATCACCCACGTCCTGAAAGGACATGGCACATAAAAAGAAAAAGAATTATATGTTTTGAAACTATATATATTTAACTGTCTTTTTTATTTTTATTTTTATTTTTTTATTTTTATTTTTTATGAACGCCATGGTCTTTGGAAGTTTGTTTGGAGACCAAGTTAATGGCCTTTTAAGCTCCGTTCACGTGAATTGCAGTAAAATTTTGAATATGTAAGAATTAAATATCACGGGAGGGGGGCACCAAAATTTTAGAAATACCAAAATGGGGCATGGCCCCAAATTGGTTGGGAACCTGTGCCCTAAACGAACTGTGCATCTTGTTCTACCCTCCATATTGTCCCCTCACCTTTGTAGCTGTAAGCGATATTTGGTCCCTTCCTCATTCAACTGTCCATTTACAACAACTCGTTTGGTCACTCGATGTTTCCTCTCTGTCCCTCTTGCTTTCATTACATACTGTGAGTGTCAAAATCTCTAAGCCTTCTTTCCTCATTGTGTCCAAGAAATATCAGTCGTCCCTATCTGATTATTAGCAGTAGTTTATTTTGGGGGCCTTTTTTCTACTTATCCGCATTCTTAGTCCATGGTTTGTCAGTGGAATCCTATCTGCATGTCTTCTCTTAAATGTGTACCCAACATTTGCTATAATATCGGTGAATAAATATTGTACAGCAGATCAGCACCCTTCTTCTTTGCAAGGACATTTAATCAGACCCAGTAAATAGGTTACTCGCTATTTCAAAACTGCTTCTCTTGTTTTGAATATGCCCTTCGAGTGTCAAATTTTTGAGGCCTTATTTTCTTGATATTGCGTCCTAGAAATTACAGTCCCTTACTCAATGATTAAATTTCGTCTCTTGTATTCTCAACATTGTACAATCATATCTCTGTTGGCTCAAGTATTCTCTTTATCTGTGAGGAAACTGTGTAGTATTCACCACCATATGATATTATATAACAATACAGTATTATTTAAGAACAACAAAGATGAGGACAATAGACCACATGTCAGTCAGTTATGTATAGACGATAATGTATCGAAAGATAATGGACGATGCAGATTTTTTCCCGCAGTAGGTTGCCATTTCTTTCTGCTGTAGACCAGTTGCCATCCAAGGCTATAGAACACGGTCAGTTCTGCTAATTACCGATAGCTGGAAAAGAAGAAGAAGAAGAATCATACATTTCCCAAGGGTATTAGCACGTCAGTCAGTTACGGGCCATGTGTGAAACATGCTTAAGCAATCATGTATCTTTTGATACATGACTGATGAGGCAGATTTTTCCCGCACTAGGTTGCCATATATTTCTGCGGTAGATCAGTTGTCATCCAAGGCTCCAGAACCCGGCCTGTTCTGCTACTTACCCATAGCTTTAGAAGAAGAGGATTCCTACCTTTCCCAAAGATATTAGCAGTGGAATTCGAACGCGGCTCAATCCGAGCCGCTATCCATTACTCCACCGTAATCTTCATTTCAGAAATTCAAAACATAAACATAAATTTGACATATTTATTTTTATGTACGTTCTTATAAAACGGCATTATTTTCTGAATAAACTAATAATTTAATACTAAATATCTGTTAGTATGCTGACGCTGGATTCGAAAAAACACTTCAGTTTGGTTATTAGAAAATATCCCATTTTGGAAATATCTTAAAACTTATGATATTTCGTTGTAAAGTTCTAAGTGAAAGAAAAAAAGAAATTATTATTATAATTACTTTGGTTGCTTTAAAAGCAGTGTTCCAGACTGGTAACTAATTAAAGACATGCTTTCGACATTGTAACGGCAGCATTTAATGTGGCGTAACAATTTAATTGACATGTTTTAACACTTTCTACTTGCCACACATTCAGAAAAAAAAACTAGCCTGGTAGTCACCGAATAACGAGCGAATTTATTTTGTCGAATTTATTTTGTTAAGATATTCAACAACATGTCCTGACCAAAGAGGATGATATCATTAAAATACACGTCTCTTCTATTCGGCAACATAACAAAACAATTCACAGAATCACATGATGAAGTACACGTCTGTAACTTGTAATGTCGATGTGGCTAGGAAGCGAACATATAAAGACAACATTCTGCTTCTATGATTTATGTTACAATTGAATTGACTGTTGGCAAAAGTAAATTTCTGCCTAATTGGTAATAAAATCATTAAGTTTGGTCTTAATGATGGCGATGACAGGTGTGTTGATAACAGATGCCTCCTATGTACGTGAGAGATTCATGGAAGATTGAAGTTTAAAGGCAGTAAATTCGATTTAGCTCGATCGGTTAAGAGCACGTCCGGCTAAATGACAGTTCCGTATAGGAAACAGGTTCGATTCCTATCGGAGGCATCTGTTATCAACACATCTGTCATCATATATATATATATATATATATATATGTGTGTGTGTGTGTGTGTTTTTGTGTATCGTGTGTGAGTGAGCGTCCTCATTAGGTTGCATATGTATATATTCCCTCCCTACATATACATTCTTATAAAAAGGAATCAGCATACACATATATTCAAGCATATATATATATAGTCTATCTGTTTATGCTAGTGTATCTGGCCAACATATATATATATATATGAAGAAAAATATACGGAAAAAACAAACAAAAATCCTTACATACAATTATGCTGTTTTAATGTTAATATGTCAACGTCGGACGTTTCGCTCTAATAAACCATCTTCAGGACATATTCATAAAATATAATTAACATTATCAATTCAACATGACAAAGACATGTTGAATTGATAATGTTAATTATGTTCTGAAGATGGTTTATTAGACCGAAACGTCCGGCGTTGACATATTAACATTAAAACAGCATAATTGTATATAAGGATTTTGTTTGTTTTTTTCCGTATATTTTCTTCATACTGTCGGATCTATATCCATATATTTGCTTGCATATATATATATATATATATATATATATATATATATATATATATATATATATATATATATATATATTGACGTCAGACATTATGAAATGGACAAAGTCCGATAATTATTTTAAGACGTTTATAAATTCTTTTTATAGATACAAATATTTAAGTAAATGCTCTGTTTTTTTTTTTTATATATATATAATAAACAGTACTTATAACATTTACCGGCCTGAATGTCCGAGACATTTTCATAGAAAATATTCGTCCTCCGATACGGAACTGTCATTTAGCCGGACGTACTCTTAACCGATCGAGCCACGGAGTATCGTTCGATTAGCAAGGTCGAATTTACTGCCTTTAAACTTCAATCTTCCATGAATCTCTCACGTACATTCATATCTGTTCGATGCGTATCCAAATGTAAACAAATGACGTCACACATTATGAAATGGACAAAGTCCGACAATTATTTTAAGACATTTTTATGTTTATACATTCTTTTTATAGATACAAATATTTAAGTAAATGGTCTTTTTTTATAATAAACAGTATTAATAACATTTACCGACCTGAATGTCCGAGAAATTTTCATAGAATATATATATATATATATATATATATATATATATATATATATATATATATATATATATATATACATTCATACTAATGTTTCGTTCTGTCGGAGGACGAATAATTTCTATGAAAATTTCTCGGACATTCAGGCCGGTAAATGTTTTTCTAAGGAGGAGAGGGATGAGCAGTAGAAATACCTAGATTTCTACAGGTAAGTCTACCCGGGAACTATGGGCAATTAAGAGGTGATTACACGCTCCTCGAAACCTCCTGGTCAGAGGCTTTACCTTTGGATAACATAGCTGACTCACCTGGTATGCCCAAACGTCAGGGCAATTTTGCGATGCTTTTGGCACAATTAGCCCCCATTTCACACTTGGGGTTCACGATGGCATTCAAAGCAAAACAGTCCAATGGCTTGCGAGATCTTTTGTATTGGGGATGTTGAGTTTGCCCCGTGTCTCCTCCCAGAAGTTAAAGAGACGTAACCTTCAAAACAACTGGTGATCTGGATACAGATTGTTCCTTCTCCTAGTTTGTTTGCCACCAAAAGTTATAAAATCTAGTCTGCGCTGCTATTTTATCCATAGCCGGGGGTGCGTAGAAGTGATGGATTCATACTTTTCACAAGCTTATAGACCCTAAAGTGAATGTAATGAGATGAACTGGAATTCGAACTCAGCTTTACCGATTCCGCACCCCCAGCGTGAAACCCTTCCTCTATCATGCCTACATAATAGCGTTAAAAGATTAATACCAATGTTTATTTCAATTAAATACTGAATATTACTAAAACACGACTTTCTAAGATAGAAACTTTGCAAATTCTTAAGCAGCAGTATCCACACCCAGCTTCTCAAATTCATAGCATAACCTTTTGTGGGTTTGTGCAATTTGATTGTAAACGTTTCTTTAGGGTTAATTTAGTTTAAAACATAAATTAAAGGAAGTATATTTTTTACTCTTTGATTATAGAACATACGATTTGTCACTTTCTCTTGTCTGAAAGCGATATTTGCTTATATGGTGATTAATTAGAAAACGTCAAATAGCTTTAGGCGCGACATTTACCGATTATATGATTGTTACTGTTTGAGAAACGTGATGATTGAAAGACATTGCTCAAATACGTCGATAGATAGATAGATAGATAGATAGATAGATAGATAGATAGATAGATATGAACAGACTGAGATAGATAGATAGATAGATAGATAGATAGATGAGATATAAATAGATAGATAGATAGATAGATGATAGATACTGTGGCGGATAGATAGATAGATAGATAGATAGATAGATAGATACTGATGGCGGATAGATAGATAGATAGATAGATGATAGGAATAGATAGATAGAATAGATAGATAGGAACAGACTGTGGCGGAACCATAGATAGATACAGACTAGGCGGATAGATAGAGATAGATAGATAGATAGATAGATAGATAGATAGATAGATAGATAGATAGATAGATATGAACAGACTGAGATAGATAGATATGAACAGATTGAGATAGATAGATAGATAGATAGATAGATAGATAGATAGATAGATAGATATGAACAGATGAGATAGATAGATAGATAGATATGAACAGATGAGATAGATAGATAGATAGATAGATAGATAGATACAAACAGAATGAGATATAATATTCACTTCCCTCTAACTCTTCAAATCCTGAATATATAACTAATACTAATTTTATATTGCCCCCCTCTGTAATCTCTTTACCTATATTAATTATAATTTATAAACTTTCCCTTACTCTAAGATTTCCCTTACATCCTTTTATCTATGGATTTTAAAGTTATTTTTAAAGCCCTTTTTATTCCTCTTTTAATTTTAATTAATATTTCATTCTTCATATAACACCAAATTAATGTCATACGGTTAATGTTCGGGTTTAATTTTATAAAACGTCTTTCCTTTAAGACAAATACCTTCCACCCTCTTCTGACCCCTAACTTGCGCATTTCGTCTGACGGAAACATTGAAGTGGAGAAATTCTGTATGAGTTTCCGACTGGTGTTTTTTTCTTCTTCTTTTCTTTTTTTTTTTTTTTCACAGTTAAATTTCCATTTCTGACATGAACTCAGGTACACTGATATATATATATATATATATATATATATATATATATATATATATATATATATTTCGATAAACGTGCAATCAATTTACAAATTCATGAATTATTCATACAAAAACAAATGCAAAAGGTTAATGATTTAATTGGCGAGAAATCAATCGTCGCAAACAATTCAAATAATATACAAAAAACCCCGAACCTGTTATGAATGAAAAGATCCTTGTTTCTATAAATTTCTGCTGCATTAGTTCTTATTTTTACTACAAGCTTTCGTCTGTTCCTACAGACATCTTCAAGTATGGAATAGATGTTGTTCTTGTTTTTTCTCTCAGTAATAAGAGGACAACGAAAATATATGTATTGTTGTATCCGAAAAATGCTATTGGAAATGAGTTATTGTTTTTGGAGCGTGCAGTAGCAACGCTGAGCTTGATTTTAAATTTTACAGTTGTGCGTTCTTGTACAAATATGGTGATAAGCGAATTTTTTTTTTTACTGGTAAATTTTCTGTCAAACTATATTGTTCAATAATTACAGTAATGTCGCAGTTATTATCCAAAAGTCGCACTTGGATCAGTTATATATAAGAACTAATGCAGCAGAAATTTATAGAAACAAGGATCTTTTCATTCATAACAGGTTCGGGGTTTTTTGTATATTATTTGAATTGTTTGCGACGATGGATTTCTCGCCAATTAAATCATTAACCTTTGCATTTGGTTTTGCATGAATAATTCATGAATTTGTAATATATATATATATATATATATATATATATATATATATATATATATATTAATAATAATTTCACCACAAGCAAGGAAATATAGCCACTAAGATGCAAGGGGTTACTTAGAATGAGAGAATATGAGTAAAAAATTATTATATATATATATATATATATATATATATATATATATATAGAGAGAGAGAGAGAGAGAGAGAGAGAATATAAGAATAGGAATTAACTAGATAGAAGATAATGTTTGTGATCGCATATAAACTTTTGAAAATCAAAGTTGATGAGAAAGAAAGAAGCTGATAAGTGAGAGATAAGAAAGTGTTAGCATAGGACTTACGATTACATCTCGCCATTTCACCTGTAAAAGCACGAATGCCTGCCGCCGATCTAGTACCATTCTCAAATTCATAAAATCTGGGTACCAAAGTGGTAAGTTTTAGAGATGTGAGCATTTTCTGTTACAGAATTTCGTAGCCCGGTGATAGGGATGCGTATTATATACCGGGTGTAACCGCAAAATTGTCCCAATTGTTAGATTACGCTTTGAACTGTTCTATCTTAGAAATGATTAAAAATATCTAACTGGAATTTCCAATGTTTTTTATAACATTATTGGACTCTACTCTGAACAATTAGAATGTATTTAGCTCTAAATTGAAATGATGATGCCTCTTGCTGTTGTGATCTCCTGATCCATCTTTCCTTTCTACTGTTTCCTCTTTTTAAAAATTATTCTCCGTTCTCTTGATGGTACTTGAATGGACTTTGAAGATGGAAGCTAGAGTATGAATATTGGTACCATTACTGAAGGCCTGAATGATCTTTTTCCTCTCACCATTGCTCATTTGGTAAAACATGGTGGGGCTGCCACAAAACTATTTTAACCTCTTTCTAGTTGAATAACTCAAAGGCTTTTAACAGTGATTTTTTATACGATAAATGGTGTCAAGATAGCTAAATGTCTTATCTGAAAACCTGGAAAAATGAAACTCAGTTCAGTATTTTTTTTTTTTTTAGATATTAAACATTTTGTTGGATGGACAATTATGCTGTTACACGATTTGGACAATTTTGCTGTTATATCCGGTACAAGTTCGTGTTATACTCGAAGAATTACAGCATTATATTTAAAAACATGAAGCGTAGTCTTTAGAATGTAAAACGGGCGTTCTTTGTGTGTATGTATGTGTTTTTTTTTTAATTAAATTAGCATTCTCAAGTAGACAGTTAAATATGTGCTCCCATTTAGACTCAAAGCTGCACCTTTGAGACGTTGACATTTAGGATTTTATTAAAATCGAGCATTTTTTTTTCTTAGGTCAAGAAAAAAATCTTTAGAATAAACAATATTGATGTAATAAAAGTAAATCATTTTTTTTCTACAGCTTAGATCAACAAAGATAGTGGCCATATTGTTTCGCCTGTAAACTGATATTAAGAAGAAGAAGAGTAAGACAGGGAAAGGTGAAATAAAAGTAGAAACGAATGGCGACAGATAGACATAGCATAGAAGTTAAACTTAAAAAAAAAAAACACGAAATAAAAGTGTATTGTCAGCTCGAAAGGTAGATCAGGGAGCGGAACTGAAAAACGAAAACTAATTAAGATTTCAGTTATCTAAATTTTGGATTTCAAAAGCGTACTATTCAAATATAATATATCAGCGCTGCCCAGAACGTGTCTTTTTTCTCGGCAACCGTTATGGAGTCCTTGATGCAATTTGACAACCAATCAGAATTGTCTTTGCTGCGCATTGGGTGATGGGCGTGTGTCTCTGGGCGTTGAACAGAAGATGACGATCACTATTGCATTTAGCTTTGCATTGAGATTTGCATTTAAATTTTGGAAGATCAAAGTTGACTGGTAGACAAGAAGCCGAAAGAAAGTTCCACAAGTGAGATGTAAGAGAGAAGGAACTGTTAGCATAGAACTTACGGTTACATTTAGCCAACTCAACTGTAAATTGATAAATGCTTTTCAGCATTTTAGTACTGCGCTTAAATTCATAAATTTATATGATAGCGAGTGGTTCATCAGGCCACTTGTTTATAGGAAATGTTTATAGGAAATGGTTATAGAATGTTTATAGAAGAGTTTGCCATGAAAATGTTTATAGGAGATGTTTATAGAAACGCTTATAAAACAGTTAACCATGAAAATGTCCATAGGAAATGTTTATAGAAAAAGTTTACAATGAAAATGTTTATAGCAAATATTTATAGAAATGGTTAGAGAACAGTTAACCATGAAAATGCTTAAAGGAGATGTTTATAAAATGTTGAAAGAACAGTTTAGCATGAAAATGTTTATAGGAAATGTTTATAGAATGTTTATAGAACAATGTAAGATGAAAATGTTTATAGGAATGTTTGTAGAAACGTTTAGAAAACAGTTTACCATGGAAATGATTATAGGAAATGTTTATGGAAATATTTAGAGAACAGTTTACCATGAAAATGTTTATAGGAAATGTTTATAGTGTGTTTATGGAGCAGTTTCCCTTGAACAAATTTATAGGAAATGTTTTTGGAAAAGCTATTGTACAGTTTACCATGAAAAAATTTGTAGGAAATATTTATAGAATATTTATAAATAAGTTTAGAATGAAACTGTTTGTAGGAAAGTTTATAGAATATTTATAGAACAGTTTGCCATGAAAATGTTTATAGGAAATGTTTATGAATGTTTATAGAACAGTTTACCAAGAGAATATTTATAGGATATATTTAAGAGGGAAAGTGAATGAAGCAGAGATGCAAGATCAGAACAAATAACAATGCATATTCTTTAGATTTTATTAAGAATCTCTAAATACATAGCAGTAGAAACAGACCAGATGTAGCAGGAATTAAAAATCAAGCACTTGATAATTATGTTAGGAAAAGACGGGAAACTTTACAGAGACAGTATAGTCCATGTTCAGGAACTACCTGCCATATACAGCCATTATCTGACAGACGTATATGTTCGTCTCACCTGTGGCGTAGAGGCCTACCCTCAGGAACGTCACTTCTGTCTCAGCTTACCACAAGTTTTTCTTCTTTTTTTCTTTCTCAAATCAATATGCCATTGTAATGGTCTAAATAATACGGAATAATATTCTTCTCTTTAGAATATGGGGAATCTATTTCTATGATCGACTGCCACAAATACACCGGGTGGCTTGAAGGCTCGACTTGTGGCAATGAGACCTGCTGTTTATGTTCGACCTCTTTCCCAACGAATTTTCCTTCAAAATGTCGATATTCTTATCTCTTAAATATCTTAATCCATTATTACTTTTTAAAAAATCATTTCACCCCATGCAATGCAGTAAAGCCACTACGACACAAGGGGTGAAAAAATAAGAAAAAAAGAGAAACATTATTAAGAAGCGAAAACAATTGAAGTGTAATCAAAAAGACAGTAAAATAACGATTGACATAGCATTTAAAATTGTTTTCTAATCATTTCACCTCATGCAAGGCAGTAAAGCCACTAAGACACAAGGGGTTACTGAGTGTGAAATAATAAGAAAAAAGTGAAACATCATTAAGGAGTGAGAATTGAAATGTAATCAGGAAGAAAAAATAGTAGAAAAAGGGTAGGAGAAAAAGATTGACATTGCGTTTAAGTATTTATCGATCTTGGCTGAAAAGGATGAAGCCGGAAAAGTGTTCCACAAGCCGTTAGCATAGAATTTACAGTTATATCTAACCAATTAAACTTTAAATTGATCAGACCTTTTTGATATCTAGTACTGCACTTAAATTCATAAATCTAGGTACCATAGCAAATCATTTCATCCGACCAATTACAATGAAAGTATTTATAAAAAAGGCACAGGTAAGATATATTACGTCAGTGGGAAAGGTACAGAAGCCGAGATGCCAGGTCAAGACCAGTATTATTGCTGATTCTTCTTTGAATTTTAATAATAATCTCTAAATATATAGTAGGAGCACCGGACTATTTGTGTCAGCAATATTCAAAGTATGGACAAATGATAAACTTATAGATATGTAAAATAGATTCTGGAGAGAGAAATTTTTTATCCCTACCCAGTGAATCAACTTTCCTTGCAGCAGACGTAACAATGGATTCAGTATAGTCTTTCAACTTTATGTCAGTCGAGAATGTTACCCCGAGAAAGCGCAACGAGTCACTCTCTTGGCGGTTAGCATCAGCCATACTGATGGATGGCAGAGAAGGGCCTCTCAGATTATTAATAAAGAGCAGTATTGTTTTGGAGCCGTTAAAATGAACATGCTATTCCTTGCTCCAATTAACAAGTTACTTTTTAGATCATCTTCCAATTTTGACCTTATCCAACAAGTCAAACATGACATCCTTTTATACTGACGCATTTATTTTTTTCTGTGTATCTATATTCGTAAATATAAACTATAATCAAGAAAAATACAAACTTTAAATCAGTTACGTTAAGCAGCGGCCCGCGTGCAAAGTGTGGCCCGTTTGACTTCTCGAATGACATGTAGAATTCAGGAGGAAAATAATTCTTCATTAAAATTTTGTTTCTTTCCTTTCGTCCTCACTCGTTCATTGACATTTTCTTATACAGAACCACAATACATAAACATTGATTTTTTTTTTCTTCATCCCAAGCAAGGCGGGAAGCCACTAGCACGCAAGGAGTTAAAGAGAGTTGAAGCTAGAGCCAATAGGAGTGATAGAGGAAAGGATGAAAAGAAGGATAGGGGATAGATCAGGGCATCTGGAGACGTCGATTGACATTACATTTGAATAGTTGGAGATTATAGCTATCAGGGAAATAGGAAAAGGGGAGGGGGTTCCACAGGCGAGAAATGCGAGACATGAAGTTATTGGAGTAGAAGAGACGGCTACATTTAACAGTTTCGACAGTGAAAGGGTGAGAGAGAGATGCCAGCCTAGTTGAACGCTTAAATTTATGTCTGGAAACCAGCGAAAGCTGCTCCTCGGAGCAATTACCGTGAAAACATTTGTAAAAAAAGACAGAGGGAGGCGATGGCACGTCTATGAGAAAGCGACTGCAGACGAGATCCCAGATCAGGGCCAATTACATTGCATATCCGTCTCTGGATTTTATCAAGGACCTTAAGACGAACAGAAGGGGATTCAGACTATATATGGCAGTAATACTCCATGCAAGGGCGAATGGTTGATTTGCAGATTTGAAGGATTGACTCCGGCGCGTCATAGGGAGCCAACTTTCCTTGCGATGGACGAAGCTGTTACGTACAATATTTCTTAACCCTTTGAGCCTTGACCACCGCTTTACCGGTGGTAGAGAAAAAGGACGTAATTCCCAGCCACCGGTTTCACAGTGGTAGAGAAAAATGACTTAATGCGCAGCTACCGGTTGAACGGTGGTTAAACACATGTAACTATTTTTATATCTACCGTGAAACATTACATACTAATTATTTATAAAATTTTGACTCAGGAGGTCAGAAAGAAGGGTTAAAATTGTTCAGGAACTCAGGCTCAAAAGGTTAAATTTTGTCACTTTTTTTGAAGATCAAGATTTCATCATTTGAAACCATTGGCGATTTTCACTACAAAAGATAAGATTCTGTCTATATTTCTGAGATGAGGTATTATGTACAGTATTTACATTAGTCGGACTATTGTCCTCATCTTTGTCGCCATATTTGTCACAACGTTTCGGCCGTTGTATGCTCCGGCCTTCTTCAGGTGGTTGGAAGGACACATGGTACAGTGGATAAAGGCGTTAGTTAGATCCAGTGACAGACCCAAAGAATGTGAGTTCAATACCCGGTTAAGGCAATGGAGAACTTTCAGAGGGAAAATTAGCAGGAGATAACTGATAACTGACATCCATCAAACATGGCACGTGGAACTAGAAAAGGCTAACCCCAGTGATCGAAATAAAGGGTTCAGTTCGAAATTCCAACCACCTGAAGAAGGCCGGAGCGTACAACGGCCGAAACGTTGTGACAAATATGGCGACAAAGATGAGGACAATAGTCCGACTAATGTAAAAAAATAAGACGTGTAAATATCTTTTGCTTTAGAAACTGGAAACTTCCATAAATCTTTTCTGTTGTGAAGAAATATATTTATTTTATTTTAGAAATTATTTATTGTATTTTCAAATGAATAAATAAGAAACAAATCACATGCAAAAGTGTTTGTTAATGACGTTCATCTGCGATAACATTATACTGACATCTTTTCCCGAAAAAATAAGGAACTTTTCCTCATTTCTAAGGCAGATGCTTACCCGTATGGTCTTCTGTAGTGAAAAAATGAAAACTTTGAATGTTTTTACTAGCGTAGGTCGCCTTATATAGATATCTGAGACGGCGAACTAATTGAAGAGGTTGTTCATATTTGCTTTAAATCCGGAGCTTGCATTTCCAATTCAGTCACTTTTCCTATCATCGCGACATGGTTTCCAACTGAGTTTTCTATAAATATTTTTATGGCAATTATTCTGATGATTTTTCTTTCTTGGTGCCTTGACTGAATGTACGTGCTACTAGATTGGCAATTAGGTCTCATC